ATACATATTTGTACCCTGTGCTTATCTGACATCTGGCTTCTTGTTCCTGCCTCTGGTCTCCTGCTCCAGGCTGAGCAGCTCTACAGAGCAGAGCACCTCCTCTAGGCTAATCCGCAAGCACAAATGTCGTCGGCGAAAGCAGCGCTTGAGGCAGACAGACCGGGTAGGCAGCAGGTGGGTGGGGTATCTGCTCTGAATGGTGCCACACAGCCCCTCATTGGGTCCCTCCACAGGCATCCTCCTTCAGCAGCATCACCGACTCCACCATGTCCCTGAACATCATCACCGTCACTCTCAACATGGGTGAGGCCTTATGGGCTGGTGGGTGCTTGGTGGGGGTAGGTACAAGCCTAGGAGCCTTTGGGGCCTGCTCATGGCCCCTCCTGCAGAGAGGCACCACTTCCTGGGCATCAGCATCGTGGGCCAGAGCAACGACCGGGGTGATGGCGGCATCTACATTGGATCCATCATGAAGGGCGGGGCTGTGGCTGCTGATGGCCGCATTGAGCCAGGCGACATGCTGCTGCAGGTGGGAGCCATGTGGGGACTATGGGGACAAGATGGCACTCCCATCCCACCACCAATCCCTGACCCCACAAACTCCATAGGTAAATGATGTCAACTTTGAGAACATGAGCAACGATGACGCTGTGCGGGTGCTTCGGGAGATCGTATCCCAAACGGGGTGAGGGGGGATTCATGTGGGGGGGATGGGAAGGGTATAGGATAGGAGAGGTTGTGTAGGCCTCACCCATGTGATCTGCTGAACTCTACAGGCCCATCAGCCTCACAGTGGCCAAGTGCTGGGACCCAACCCCTCGGAGCTACTTCACCATCCCCAGGGGTGAGTGACCCCATGGAGGGGTGGGGTAGGGTAGGGCTCCTAGGCCCAGTCTGAAGGGTCTTTCTCCTTTGCCTCTGTGCTGTCCCCCTACTTTCTATTACCTGTCATCTGTTGCCATGTGGTAATTGTCCAGCTGACCCAGTGCGACCCATCGACCCGGCCGCCTGGCTGTCCCACACAGCAGCGCTGACGGGTGCTCTGCCCCGCTATGGTACGAGTCCCTGCTCCAGTGCCATCACACGCACCAGCTCTTCCTCACTAACCAGCTCAGTGCCTGGCGCCCCACGTAAGTGGCAGCTTACAAGAGCCCCAGCAGGAAACTGAGGCTGAAGGACAAGGGTCTGCCCCAGCTTTTAGCCTTGGTGCTCACCAGAGCTGTTCTTGGGATCCATCACATATGATGTGCCTGTCTCCAACACTTTCACAAATGTGTACACAAAGATACATGTACACATCTCTGATAGCCCAGCCATCCTGGCCATCTGGACACATTGAAGGGTTCTGTCAAGCCTGTGTTGAGGATTGGGAGGACATGGTAGCCTCTGCTTTGCTTTCCTGCTGCTTAACATAACTAACAGCTTGAGCTCTCCAGGGAGGTGTCCATGGGGGAGGGAAAGGGACTGGCTTGCCCGTATGTACTTGGACTGTGGGGCTGGGGAGAATATCCTAGTTTCAGCTCAAGATTTTGGGAAGATACCTCCCAAGGGTGGGAGATAGAGGTTTGATCCTGTCCTCTGCTCCCAACTCCATGGAGGTCCATCCTGTGAGCCTGGGCTCCCAGCTTCAGGCAGCCCAGAACTCAGTCCCTACATGTTGGTTGCTTGCCTGGGCTCAGAGAACTGTGCCTTGCAGAGCTTGAGGAGGCACCACTGACCGTGAAGAGTGACATGAGCGCCATTGTCCGGGTCATGCAGTTGCCAGATTCAGGACTGGAGATCCGGGACCGCATGTGGCTTAAGATCACCATTGCCAATGCTGTCATTGGTGAGTCCTTGGCTGTGTGGGAAGGGCCCAGTCTGTTCTTCATTCTGGTGTAGCTTCCCAGGGCTCAGCTACCCTGACTTTCATGGGCCTGTGGCCAGGGGCTGATGTGGTGGACTGGCTGTACACACACGTGGAGGGCTTCAAAGAACGAAGGGAGGCGAGGAAGTATGCCAGCAGTATGCTGAAGCACGGCTTCTTGCGGCACACAGTCAACAAGATCACCTTCTCTGAGCAATGCTACTATGTCTTTGGGGACCTGTGCAGTAGTGAGTAGGGGGTCATTGGGTGGGAGTTATTGTGGGGCTCATCCATTTGCTCTGACTTACCCATCCCCTCCCTTCCTGCCAGACCTTGCATCCCTGAACCTCAACAGTGGCTCCAGTGGAGCCTCAGATCAGGACACACTGGCCCCATTGCCCCACCCATCTGTACCCTGGCCCTTGGGTCAAGGCTACCCCTACCAGTACCCAGGACCCCCGCCCTGCTTCCCACCTGCTTACCAGGACCCTGGCTTCAGCTATGGCAGTGGCAGTGCTGGGAGTCAGCAGAGTGAAGGTGAGAATCATGCCAACCCCTCCTCCACTCCCATTCCCTGGCTCTGCCTGGCCTTGCTGCTGTCCTCTGTGCTCCTGCTGTGTGTTTGGGTCCTGGTGGGTCCTACTTCAAGAGTCAGTGTGGGGCAGGGAGGGGGCCGATGTGGGGACTCACTTTGTTTCTGTGGGTAGAGGCCTTTGGGAATAGGAAGACTGCCTGATGGGAACAGGCCTGGTGTTCCAGGTGGCAGAGGCAAGAGGCCAGGAGATGATGTGGCAAGAATGAGGGTGAGAATAGCAGAGGGCATCACTTAGGGTTACTCTCTAGGTCCTAAGCTAAGAGGATGGGCTTTATCAATTATGGTACTTGTAGCCCAACAGAGTGCCAGACAAGCAAACAGTGCCATTAGAGTATATCTTAGGGATATTGAAGATCTTGGAGGGTGGGTGTCCTGAAGAGGAGATGGGCTGAAGCAGAGGTCTTAGGCAGAGTGGGGCACAGCAGCCATGCTGCAGGGTCTGGAGAAAGACTCAAGACAGTCAACTTTGAGGACATAAGATGGGAGAAAGGATAGGTTGGGCCACAGGGTGGCAATGCCCAAGGGGAAGCTGTTGAGTGACTATTGACCTTGGATAGGCCCTTGCATGCACCCAAGCTCAGTTTGGCCCACAGTAGTCCTAGTTGGCCTTTGGTGAGCACTGGACTGGTGTGTGACTTGTGCTATCCCTTGCTTTGTGCTGAGCAAGCCTTAGACTGAAGGACTAGCAGAGTGGACCCTCGGGCCGGTAAGCCAGGTCCCCCTGTGTCCCTCTCAGCATGTCCCCAGCCAGCACGTGTTTTCAGGTTCTCACCACTTTCAGGACAGAAGCTAAGAAAATGAGCTGACCAGGGCCCTTGGGTTGGGTGGACAGTGGGTCTTTGGGTGGTGAACCCAGGATGGCTAATGGGAATGCTGGGCATGCAGGGCCTTCACTGGTATCTTAGTTTCTCAGCTGTAACATCAGCCTTTGGTTCAAGCATTGGGGTTAGGTGTGGGGTGCCAAGCTGGCCCCCATTATCCCTCCTGTCTGCAACTGCCCCTAGCTCCTTGCCTCTCATCTGCTCCTGGTATCTGCATGGCTGCCCTTCCCCTACCACCCCCAAGCTCACCAGGTTCTGCCCTGGCTGTCTGGGAACAACTGGTGGTTCTGGAAGTGGCCAGGGCTGGTGCTGACTCTGTTGTCCCTTCCCTTCTCCCAGGGAGCAAGAGCAGTGGGTCCACAAGGAGCAGCCATCGGACCCCAGGCCGAGAGGAGCGCCGGGCAGCTGGAGCCGGGGGTAGTGGCAGCGAATCAGATCACACGGCACCAAGTGGGTCTGGTAGCACTGGCTGGTGGGAGCGTCCTGTCAGCCAGCTTAGTCGTGGCAGTAGCCCTCGAAGTCAGACCTCAGCTGTTGCCCCAGGGCTCCCCCCACTGCACCCCCTGACAAAGGCCTATGCAGTAGTGGGTGGGCCACCTGGAGGGCCACCTGTCCGGGAACTGTCTGCTGTTCCTCCAGAACTTACAGGTAGCCGCCAGTCCTTCCAAAAGGCCATGGGAAACCCTTGTGAATTCTTTGTGGACATTATGTGACCATCAACCAGTGTTTTTTCCATGCTGCCTGTGGCAAGAGTCTGTGGTCCTGCTGTGCCAGGATCTCTGTGGGCTTGCCTTAGTGGTGGCTAGCCAGGATAGGATGAGCTGTGGGGTATGGGCCAGGGCAGAGGGAGCAGGCTGCGGAAGAAGGGCTGAGGGCAGCAGCCCTACTAGGAGATGGGCTTGGCTCTCTGCCTGTTCTGTGCGTGTAGAGTCTTGTGAGGGCACATCTCTGTCTTCAGGTCCTCAGCACAAGTCTCAGGGACCACTTTCTGGTTCCTTTTCTGGAAGTGACCTCCATTTAGCACAAGGAAGACTCTTGGGCTCTGTGCCCCACCTCACCCCCAAACTCTTCCAGAACTGTGCACAGGGGCCCAGGCTGACTCTCACTGAGTTCATGGGCCTCACCTGTCAGGCCAAGGTGGGGTTCTTCAGGAGTTAGAAAGAGTCCTTAAACCTCTCTGGCTGCCCATGTGGGGTCTAACTTATTTATTTATTGCTAGCATGCCTGCTCTGAAGGTGGCAGCTGGTTACCTAATGGGGGCAGGTGCATGTCCCTTCCCCCACTTGGTACTCAGCACATAACAACACAATTTGTACTGAAAGTATGTGGAGGATGGTTAGTACTGGAGACGAGAGGCCAGGCACCTGTATACTGTCTCAGCCTCGGTGGAGGGGTGATAGTGCACACAGTACCTCAGAGATGGGGTCCTGCCCTGTCACTGCTGTCCTGATAGCTGCCCACCAGCATGTGTGCCATGCCATCCTGGCGTGGCAGCCCCACACATCTGCACTGTAGATACTGTGTCAAAGTCTGAGCAACTGGGTAGTTCAAATAGAGCTGCTTTTGTGTAAATGCTGCTTCTGTGTAAATGCTATTTTAAACACTAAAAAGCGTTTAATTTTATGGGACTGATGTGTGACCTGTTTCTCTTTTCTCCAGCTAAGCTGCTTCTGGATTCAGGTGTGAGGGCCAGCCCAGAACTGACCCAGGTCTGATCCTGCCTGGAATTGGAAGATACTCTTGTCCACTTAGTCATGTGGCTCTGTCCCTGGTGCTGGCCAGTAACAGGGGTCTTGTAGGCGACTTTTCTGTCCTTGGTACTAGGAGCTGACTCTAGGGGTCCTGGGTGGGGGGTGGTGCTGGCCATGGTGCTGACCCTTGCCCTATGCTCTGTCCAAGGTGCTAGCAGTGACTTGGTTCCCTCCTATAGACGAGGGCTGGGCCCGGAAGGGAGGAGGAGGCTGGGTGTTGCCTACCTCTTGAGTGCCCTCTGCCTGTTAACTTTCTTACTTTGTCCCAGTACATGCATATGCCCAGCCTTCTATTTCTGGGATGCCTGGTCAGGGTGCTGAGGGCCCAGCCTGGGCATGTTCAGCCAAGTAGTACTGCTCTCCCAGGGTCTGCCTAGGGCATTCTTGAATTCAAGATATGGCTATGGAGTCCCAAAGAACACGTTGTGGTCCATTTTCTAAGATAATGGATCCCAGTCACCTGGGAAGGCCTTAGGTAGGGCATAATAGGATCAAGGATGATCTTGCCTTTGAAGGATAGGTGGGATCATAGGATCCATCTTGCACATTATAGGCCTGGGGGTCACTGTGGAGCTAAGGTCAGTGGATAACTTGGAGTCAGTCTATAGTTAAGTGTCTCAAGTCTCAAGTCTGGGGGTTGTTGACTTGGAAGGTCTCTACTAGGGTTGGGATCACTAATCAGTGGGTCAGGGGTCACTCATTGTGGCCCTGAGTTGTTACCACCCCTCCCCCACTGTTGTTCCCATCTGCTGCTTCCTTGGGGCTCCCCCCCAGGAAGAACTCCTGAGTGTTGAGCTTTGGCAGCCACAGAAGCACATAGCACTTGGGCAGGTGGAAGGTGGCCAGAATGCCCAGGGCACAGAGTAGAATGGCACCCATCTGCACAGCTGGCTGGTAAGCCACATGTACATTGGCCAGGAGGGGCACAAAAGAGACCCAGATGATGAAATAAGCTAGCATGGCGAAGGTGAGACCACGGGCACGGTTGTAGCGACCAGGCTGGCTCTGTACTAGGAAAGTGCCCAGGAAGCAGAGGAAGGCCAGTGTTGCATTGGTGATGTGTACCAAGCCTAGGCTGACCCAGGAACGCATGTGGCAGTGCTCCAGTACTTCTGTAGGCAGCACCCACCAGTCTGTCACCACCTCTGGTGGGAAAGCTGTCAAGTACCAGGCGCATAGTGTTGCCTCCACAAGAATGGCCAGCAGGACTACCAGCCAAGCCCAGGATCCCCGAAGGCAGCTACATAGCCAGTTTGCCCAGCTCAGTGGCAACTCAGACTCCACAAAGATTTCAGCTGCTTGCAGGAAGAGCGTGCTCAGGCAGCCTGTGAGAGGAAGGTGAGCCAATGGCTGTTGAGCAAGGCAGTTGGCAGAGCTTGGCCGTCCTGGGAACAGAAGGACACTGAGGCAGAAGAGGCCTAGGCAGACCAGGCCAAAGCAGAACAGTGACCCACCTGAGGCCTGAACAAGAGGGCTGTCCCGGTGATGGACAAAGAGCCCCAGGGAGGCCAGTGCTAGGCCTAGCACCAGGCACAGCAGCAGCAGCAGTGACAGCACAACTGGCTCTCCCCAGGCCAGGAACTTAGGCCTGCGAGGCAAGCAGCTCGTGCTTTTCTCTGGGGACCACTGGTCATGGTTACATGGAGTACAGGTGAAATCATCTGTGGTAAAAGAAAGAGAAAGCAATGTGTGTGTGTGGGGGTGGGTGCTGGTGATGGGAGACAGAATTGCCCAGCCCAGCCCCCCTCCCCAGGCTCTGGCCTCAGCATTAGCCTTGGGAGAGAGGCACTTGCGAGGCTTGTATGCTTCTGCCCCCAACCCAGCTTTGCAGACTGTCTAGGGAAGGTGGTTCACCTGGATGCTTCCGGTAGCTGCCTGCCTTGCAGTCCACACAGTCATAGCAGCAGGAATGGAAGCCCTTTACTCTGCGCACCTGGCCATCTTTGCACTGCCTGGAGCACTGGGACACTGGCACCTGGACATGAAGCCTTGGATTAGGCTCCCCTTGGCTAGAACTGGCCCAAGACCCACAGGCAATCCCAAGCCTGTACCTACCATGGTTTTTGCCTGTTTTGTCCTTACCTGGTTCCCTGGCCAGTGCATCTTGGAGTGCTGCAGCTGAAGAGTGCCGTTGAAAGTGCCCACAGTATGTAATGCAGGTGTAGAGCTCTGCCACACCCACATCTTCAGGTCATACTCCATGTCTACATTCCCTTTAGCATCAAACTGCAGTGTCAAGTCTCGAGCATGGAAACTCATGTTGTACATGTTCTCCAGGAGCTGTGGGGTGGAGTCGGGGTAAGGCTGACCCATGATCTTCTCCAGTCAAGACAAGATTTAGCTCTGCCTGGTAGTTCAGTATTCCTAAATGAGCAGGCATATACCCAGCAAAACCCCTACCCTTACCTGCCAGGGTTGAACAGGCTCTGCTGTGGGGCAACTTGAGATATTGCACTGTAGGGTGTTGTGAAGAGCCTGGGCCACACTGTACACAGCTGCATAGGTTGCAAAAATCTGGTGGTGCAACTGCCCAGCTGATAGGTTCTGCATCAGTCCAGATGACAGATTCTGCAGCGTGATGTTGTCACACTGTGGACAGCGTTGCCCCATCACTTGCTCTTCCAGGTCCAACTCAGCATTCAGTGAGGCACAGAATGTTGGGTCAGCAGCCAGGGCAAGGCGGGTCTCCACATAATGGGAGAATTCGGGCAGCAGGGCACCTCGCTGCAGAAACCCAAGCACAGTGCCTACACGGGCAACATTGGGTAGTGTCATGACCAGGTCAGAGGTCAGCCAGGATTCACTAGCCACCCATACCTTGGATGAGAGGCCATGATGGATGCTATAGTTAAAAAGGGAGTAGACAGCACGGGAGGAGGCAAACAGCACCACCACCTGCACTTTGCTTTGGTTCACTTGGTGTAACACGTCCACCACCTTGCCAAGCTGTTGGCTACTGGTGCCATGCAGTGGCACCAGGCCCTCATGTGCAATGCAGATACCTCGTGCATTGGCCAGGCCAGAAAAGATGCTCAGACCTTCCCGGCCATAGTCATCGTCACTACCTAGGGCAGCTACCCAGTTCCAGCTGAAATTCTGCAACAGAGCCACAACAGCCTCCAGCTGCACCCGGTCACTGGGCACTGTGCGGAAGAAGGATGGAAATGTTTCCCGGTCACTTAGCCGATCCATGCTGGCGCTATAGCTGACCTGTGGTGATCAAGAAGCACCTCCTGATATGAGAGCTCAATGGGCACTATTGGTTGAGGGAACACAAAGGAGGTGGGCTCACCTGTGGCATGAGGAAGAAGCTGAAGAACTTGCCTGTAATTAGGGCAAGCTCTGATGAGTGGGGCCCAATGACAGCCAGCACACGGGGCTGGTACTGTGTATAGTTGCAGTAGGCAGCAATGCTTTGACTGCCCACCTTTGCCAGGAACATGAGACTGGGCTTCATGGTGACCACCGGCTCTGAGCATGTGTCAAATAAGTCATAGCCCAGGCGCAGTCCAGGGAGCAAGGCAGATCCATTGTTGATCTCCTCCACAGCCATCTTCATAGCCATGACCAGGAACAGACCAAGGGGTGAGAACCTGAGGCCATATGGAATTGCAGGTGGTGACCACCTCATCCTCAGCTTGGGAGTACTGCAGACCCAATGCTGCCAAGCTTCATTCCCACCCCCACTCCAGCTACTAGCCTCCATACCTGGTGCACAGGATGCCATTGGGTCGTGTTCTCTGGTAAAGAGTGTCCTGCTCAGTTGAGCCCAGGGGAAATAGCCCACCCAGTATGTAGTCCCCTTGTGCCTTGAATTGCTGTGACAGGCACAAGGAGGCTCCCATCCCAAGGCCCAGGAGAGCAGCCAGGCTGAGGCTCAGAACAGCCAGGCTTGGCATGGTAGGTATAAGCTTCCAGCAGAGAGAGTAGGTGGATGTGCTGGGCTGGAGCCCCAGATATACTGGTGAGTTCAGGGGGAGAGAGCAGAGAATTTGTTTAGCAAAACTGCTGCTGTGCTTGGCTGCCAAGCCCCCCCATGGGGCTCCGGTGATATGCTCAGTAACTCAGACCTGATGGTTTGTGTATACTGGACTCATCTTTATACCATTAATATGCTCTCTGTCCAAGAGAGACCCAGCAAGCCAACTGTGACCACTGACTGTGGTGGTGTCACCTGCCTATGCCCAAGCCCCTCAGCACCCTTCATTTCTAGAGCAGCCTGGCAGACTGTAAAGAAGATGGAGAAGCATTCAGGGTTCCAGGGTTTCCCTTGGGTGTGGAATAAGGAGGACACCAGGGCTATATTTGTAAGCACAGAGATACCTTTTATCTTCTGGCTTCTGATTTGAGGCAGTACTGTCAATAAGCAGGGGCTGCAGAGGTGGTCCCTCAATGACAGTAGACAGCTGGCTAGCCAGGGCTCTAACCTTCAGATGAGGTAGGGAGATCTGAGGCTGAGTTCCTGGGTGTCCCAACCTGCCTGGATCCTGGAGCACACTCATTGAGGGTCTCCTAGCTTTTCTGCTGGGGTTCTGGAAGCTGTGGAGACCCTTGCCTATTCTGCTGATCCTTGATGTAAACACTCTGGCTTTGGCAGGAATGCAGGTACCTCCTTCAGCTGAATGCTCACAGCTGGTCCATGAAAATGAGAAAAGGCCATAAACAAATAGGTTCCTGCAGCTGCTAGGGCCAGGTGTGTGCCTGTGTGCAGTCAACAGTTTCTTCTTAGCCTCTTCCCTTGTTCTGGCTAGTTTATGTCAACTTGGCACAAGCTTGAGAAAATGCCTCCAAATTATCTGGCCAGCAGGCATTTTCTTAGTGATTGATTGGGGAGGTCCAGCTCATTGTAGGGGGTACCTATCATCCTTGGGCTGGTGGTCCTGGATTCTGTAAGAAAGCAGGCTGAGCAAGCCAGTAAGCAGCACTCCTCCATGGCCTTTGCATCAGCTTCTGCCTCCAGGTTCCTATCTTGTTTGAGTTTCTGTCCTGACTTCCTTTAATGATGAACAGTGATATAGAAGTGTAAGCCAAACAAACCCTTTACTTCCCAAGTTGCTTTGGTCATAGTGTTTTCATCACAGCAATAGTAACCCTAGCTAAGACATTTCCACTTAGTCTGGGTGTGAGGGAGCTATTGCTAACACAGCAGGTTTCTGGCACCCAAACATGAGGGAGGCTGTTAACTCTTGTTGGAATAGGAGCCTGGGTAATCTCAATGTCATATGACATCCAGCAGATGTTATGGAAATGATCTTTGCATTTCCCTGCTGCTCTGTGAGGATGTCTACAAAGCTCGTGCACATGCTTATTGACACGTGTACACCATGAATCTGTATGTGGCACATATATCTGCTATTACATCCTTATTTTCTGGCCAGTCTCTTGAAGTCATCAGCCTTGGCTAGCACTATGTGGCCTTGGATCTTAGCTGGGTATAGACATGGCTGGATAAATATAGCCTAAGCAGATCAGTTGGGTATGGTGGAGTACCAGGAAGACACCAATCATTGTGTACCCTCTGTCTAGGTTGATGTCATGTAGAAAGTAGCTCTAGTTTTCCCCCAGTTTTGTCACACAGTGTCTTGAGTATCTTCAGACCTTTTCCCAACCTAGCCTCTCAAGGTAGGTGGCCCAAGTGTTTCTTTTCTTACCTGTAAAATGGAGATAATGCAGATCTCAGTATATGTGTGTGATCTAGTTAAGATACATTGGGGACAAATGCATGGCAACTCCTTCAGTTCTGGCTGCTGGCTAGACATGTTTCATGCTTTCATGGTTCATATTACCCTTTGAGCCCTCAGGACTGGGGACATATGCTTCAGTCTTGTCCCTAGGATTAACTTCCTCACCACCTATATGGGTTGGTACTTTTATGTTTTTCTTCCACATCATCAGGCACCTGACACACCTGTGACCCATCTCCTAGACTGCCATACCCAATCATGTAGGTGTAATTTATTTATGTTGGAAACACAACATATATCATAGTTCTTGAGGAAAGAGATATGTCCCAAAGTTTGCATTTATACACATCACCTGCACTGGGGACACTGTCTGGGGTTTAACATTAAGACCCAGTGGGAGAGGTTAGGGTCTTATGCAATGGGTGTCAACCATGCTGGGTATGGTCACCTGTCAGCTAGACAAGAGGGCCCAGCTCTCTTCCACAAGTCCTGTTCTATCTATGTCACCTGAGTACCATGGTGACAGGAGCAGCAAGACTGGCTAGAGAGAGGCCAAATAATGGTTTGGCCAATTAGTATTGACATCTTAGAATCTTGGGGGTGCATATACTGCAAGAGCGCCACTGCAGGAGGTCACCTTCTGAAGGCTGATGCTACTACATTGCAGAAGCTATGAGGCAGGCTGCACTGACCAGAGCAGGTTTTCCTAAGGAAGTCTCAACTAGCAGTTTCAGATGGTTTCCATTTCCAAGGAGACAAAGGCCTGTTTGATATGCAGAGAGGCTAACAAGGAGGCAGGTAAAGGGCAGGGGGAAGTTTTCAGTGCTCATGCCACTACCAAAGGAACTCCATCTTACCCAAGGACAGCTTTTGGAATATGGGACCCAGGGCTATTTGCCTGGCACTGGTGCCATGTCTCAGGCTCAAGATGGACACAGGAAGGATACACATTGGCTGGGCATGTTGACTGTGAGGGAGATAGAACCTCAGCTCCAGGGTCCTGTGCCCTTATACCATTTCAGATTACACACATGGGAGGGGAGGTAGAACATAACGCTCCTCCCCATCTCTGTTTGCCATCTGGATTTCAATAAGGACTGACTGAACACACACATAACTAAAGTAGAGGGCAAAATTGGAGTTCAAGTGTCTCATTCTGGACCAAGAGCATGACTAGCATCCACCTCACTTGGTTCACAGCCTGTGGTTCTCAGCAAGTTCAGCTTTCAGGGATGACAGTAGCATCCAGAAAGCACTGCTGTGGGAGTAGTCCCAGGTTGCCCAAGCCCAGTTCTGAGCAGGAGAAGCCCACACAGTATGGGCACCACCACTAAGGCAGGTCTAGCAGGGAGTGCTCAGCATAGAGCTTCTGGGAGATGTCATACACGTGCTCAATGAAGGGTAGGGCCTCTCCCAGCATCTCCACTGCTTGCTCAGAGGACCCCACATTCATGGCCTCGAGGAAGACCTTGCGTGTGGGCAGGGCACAGAAAGCCACAGTGACAGCTTGACGTATGATCCAGGAGTGATAGGCAGCCAGTGTGGCATTATAGGCATCACTGCAGAGTGTGGAGGTACGAGCATCCTCAGGGCTGGTGCGTAGGCCTTCCAGGAACAGTCGTAGCCAGTGCAGAGCACGATGTAGGCGCAGCACAGTCCGGCAGCCTGAGTTAGGGTATCGGGAACGGGAGCTTCTATCTATGTCCACCAGCTTGTTGCCCACCTCATAGGCTACCATGGACTGCAAGCTAGTGTAGTGTTCATACTGTGGGCTCTTCCTCAGATGTTCCATTATCTGCAGCTTTGAGACCACATCCTTGGAAATGAATGAGAAGACGGCACCCAGGCTGTTCAGAAACCTGTGCAAGGAAGTATAAATTTGAGGCCCTACCTAGACTGGCAGCCATCCTGTAGTGCAGGAGACATTACCTTCAATCTGCTAGAGCACTTGTTTGTCTGGAGGCAAGGGCAGGAAGGCTGAGTGGAAACTGTCTGCTAGCTGCTCCCATGCCCCCTGTGCCATGTGGGATGCCAGTGTCCCATGTGGACTCTTACTGGCAAAACCACTATCTTCAGCAGCCCCAATAAACGCACCTGACAAGTCCCTTCCAGCTGGCGATATAGTGGTCCAGCAGCACCTCTCCCTCCTCAGTGAGACACTGCTTGAAGCTGACCAAGACGACTTTAAGGTTGAAATCTGTCTCTGGGCCATCCATCTTCCAACATGGGCTGAAATAGTTTTACACAGAACTTGTAGTCATCATGCTGGATTAGCTTACCTGTGGTTCATTTTCTCAAGAAGGGGTTGGGAAGAAGATTTGAAAGAAAGAGTGGGGTGCTGAAACTGCCTGCCGAGAATCATCCCTTTACCTGAGTGCCTTCCTCAGGAGCTGCAAGCTCTCCCACAAGCCAATTTGACCTTGCTGTGCCCTTGATGGATCCTGTACCCACAGATCTTGACATGGCTGCTCCTTGCCCTTCAGGCTAGTAATCTGGTCAGTTCCTGCACTGTTTGCAGCTGCTACTGCTTCTTGCTTTTCTGTTTCTTTTCTTCCTAGAGCATCTGTTTCACACATTAGGGGAAGGCACAGTTTCTAAAAGGCAGGCATAGTCCTGGACCCTGACCACACCTGGACCCCACTGTATCAGAGCAGCATTCTGATGGGAAGTTGTGCCAAAACAAAAATCAGGACTCTAAAACAGCAAGTGATTCTCACACAGGGGAGTGGAAAGGGTGGCTATGTCTAGGCTTTCCCTTCCTTGATCAGGGCAAATTAAAGCAGAGGCTGTGGGCTGGCATCTGCTAGACAGACAGATGGACACTCCTGTTGTTGAAATGGTATGCATTCCCAAACAACAGGGTAGCTGGGCCAAGGTCTTACCACACATGAAGAATTGCTAAGTCCTCCCACTGGCTCCAGAGAACATTCTGGAAGTGATCTAGGATAGAGGCCTTAAGGTAAGGTGGGGCTCTGGATTCTGCAGGCCTTTTTACAGCCACTCCACAAACATTCTAGTTTCCATATTTATTTATTTATCTTCAGTTGTGGGGACTGAGCTCAACAGCCTCTTGTATGTGGGCAGGGAATAGCCTAGGCAGGCCTTTAAGTTTCTTTTTTTAAATTGTATGTTTTTTTTTTTTTTTTTTTTTTTTTTTTTTTTTTTTTTTTTTGAGACAGGGTTTCTCTGTGTAGCTTTGGAGCCTGTTCTGGAACTCACACTCTGTAGCCCAGGCTGGCCTTGAACTCACAGAGATCTGCCTGCCTCTGCCTGCCTCTGCCTACCGAGTGCTGGGTCTAAAGGCGTGTGCCACCACACCTGACTAGGCCTTTAACTTTCAATCTTCTGGCTTCCTGAGTAGCTAGAACTACAAGCTTGTGCCCCATGCTCCTTTTGTGCTCACACCTTGAATAGATATCTCCAAGCTTCCAGCTCCCACCTTTCCTGGTACCCTAAGTGCCTTGGTGTCCAGGGCCAACCCTGTGGGATGTGGCTGCATTTCACCTATGTCCAGCATGAACACTCACCACCAGTTCTGGAGGTTCCTGTGTCCCTTAGTGCTGGATCTTTGCCCTAACCGCTGTACCATCAGGGCCCAAAAAACCCATCCTCATCCAGGGTACCTGGATCTGTGTGCAAGTTCTTTTTTTGCCTTCACACGGTCCTATGACTCAGTCCTTCAGCTCTGGGAATGTGGTCTGCATGTCTCCTCCCGCCCTTGACTGAGGCTGTCAAGAGTGGTGATATGGCCCCATGGGTTGGACTGGGTGCCCGTCACAAGTTCCAGACTCTGACCCTGGAGATGGGCTCACCTTGTGTTCACGCGTCAGGGACAACCTCAGAAAGATGGCGACGGCCAGAATCTTGACACACACCTCTCTCTTAGGGCCTGTGTACTGTTCACTGAGCAGATAGCCTCTGAGGCCCCCTACAGTTCATTTTTTTGGCCACCTAACAATCCTGTAGCCAGGCCTTCCTGCTCAGAGCCTCAGCCAGAAGCCAAGTAGCCTCTTAGAGCTGTCCGTGGTAAACTGGAAAGAACAGGAAGGGAGGGCGACTCATCAGCTCCCGGAAGGTGATGCAGGGCACATTTAAGCCTCCTACAGAAGATCAAGCTAGACAGGGTGGACAGCCGGCTGAAGACCCACAAACTAGCCCACAGCATATACACCTAGGCGTAGCAGGGAGCCAGGGCTTGAGTTCAGGGAGGTCCGCGAATCTCACCTGGGACAGATTCCTGTGGCAGGTGACTGGCTGGTTTCCACTCCGGGGAGGGCAAAGGGCGCGGCGGAGGCCAGGGACCAAAGCTACAATTAGGCTGCTGTGGGAGCCGAATCTTTTCCTGTTCGTTCCGGCTGTCTACGCATCTTCGCGGCCTGGATCACGACAGGTAGGCACCCCCATGCTGCTCTCAGGCCCAGGGCCTGTTCAGAGACTGCTCCAGCTTGCGGTTGGGCAGAAGTCTTAAATTGCAGCCCAAGGGGCAGCCCCTGCCACGCCCTTCGCAGCCGCGCCATCCCAATTGGTTGCTGATTATCCAATTAGAACTCGATGTATCGGCCCGCGTTTCCGGTGCGAGTACAGGAAGCAGGGCTCTTGGCCGTTGCGCCTGCGCAGTGTGTGGGAGTCACTCGCTGGGCATAGGGCCTAAACTGCGCTCGCGAGGTCTGAGCCCATCCTGCGGGCGGTGCACGCAGGCTGTGGAAACGCAGTTCGAGACTGGCCCCCAGAAGATGCCTGAAATAAGAGTTACTCCCTTGGGTGAGTCCGAGTCTGAAGCATCTGCGGCGTCCGGCTAATCGGGCCGGTCCCTTCATAGCAGTCTAGCAATACAGCCAGCGATCAGCCCTCCATCAGCTGTGCGCCCCAAGGAGAAGCCATGGTTTCGGAGCTGGTGCTTCCTTATCTCTGCTTGGCATGGGGGTCGAAGAGATTGGGGTTGATTCCTGGTCCTAGGACTCGATATGAGTTATGGAGGCCCAGCTTCTGTACCTAGGCTGCCTAACAGCGAGACGAGAATGAGACCCCGAAGCTCTAAGTGGCTGTGAGGTTAAATGGGTCTTGGGCGGGCGTTACCACTGTTTATTGCCTCTCAGTGGTGTTGAATTCAGCCACAGAACTCGTCCTGGCGACTTCTCTGTCCTGCACGTGGATTGTTATTTCAAGACCCTTCTACTTGGGCTTCTTCCTCACTTTTGGTTTTCTTTCTACCTCTTCTTCCTCTTTATCTTGCCCAGGTTGCTTGTTATCACCCCTCAGTTCAGTTTTTGTGTCTGGTCTGTCCCGAATTTTAAAAAGTATATCTGTTCATCGTAGAATCTAGAGTTCTAAAAGTTCTAACAGTAGGAGAAAACAACCATTTGAAATCTGGGGTTCACCAGGCAGTGGTGGCACACGCCTTTAATCTCCGCACTCTGGAGGCAGAGCCAGGTGGATCTCTGTGAGGTCAAGGCCAGCCTGGTCTACAGAGCGAGATCCAGGAAAGGCACCAAAACTGCACAGAGAAACCCTGTGTCGAAAAACATCAAAAAGAGAAATCTGGGGTTCCAGAACCTCCCTGAATGTCCCTGGTTTTTCTTCATGCATGTGTTACTAAGGTGCTGGAAGCACCTTCTCATTCATGATTCAGATGCCGACGTCATCTTAGTTAGAACTGAGTCTTCTCAACTCACTGCATTACAGGACCTTAGCAGAACCAACCTCTCATACTGACTACCCTCATCCCATCTAAGTATTAATTAGACTACAGGATCAAACAACATCAAGCATATTCTTAGACCCAGCTCCCTGACTCCTACTCCCACTGGGGAAATTTTGTTTTGTTTTCTGCCACAGTTCTGAAATTTTTTTTGCACAGTTGTTTAATCTCCACCTGATGTACTTGCCTCACTCCCCTAGGGTGTAAATCTGCACTGTGCAGAGATGTATGCATAAGGTGGTGTCCCGTGCTTGCTTCTCAGGTTTTTTTTTTTTTTTTTTT